TACATTTACCCACCTGACAAACAGGAGAGAGATGAGGAGACGGCTTGTCAGTTTAGAATATCAAGCAGTAATGCAGGAAACCGCGATGCGAGACAGTATAACGGGAACCTGCCCTCGCCCCCCCTGCTGGCAGGGAGTAAACATTGCAGCACACACATTGAATGTGAAATCAAATCACCATGTAAAGAAATGCAAACCAAAATAAAACATAACAGTTTGTAATCAAAATAAAATACAATTTTCTCTTTCTTTTTCAAAAACACAAAATGTGACACTTTTGTGGTTGTCACACACTCCCCGACAAAAAGAAATAGGTCCCACCATTTTCTACTCAACTCTTATGAACCAAAGCCCTATTCCTCCTAACAGGTGACAGGAATAGGTAAGATGTATGGATGTGGTGGTAAGGGATAAGACATGTATGTAAAGGGGGGGATAAGGTGTGAAATAGGGGTTAAAGGGGTATGTTGGCGTTTCGTAGGGAATGAGTGGGTGCAAGGGTTGTGCCGTGTGAGGTGTGGTGTAAGCAGGTGAGTGTAGGTCTGTGTTTACCATGTTAACTCTAGCTTGTGTTGTCAGTGTAGGCTGACCAAGCCTCCCATATGTAAGAAACTGTCTAGGTTGCCTTTCTCGACTTGACCTTCTGACCTGTGTCTGTCGGTCTGGCATTGCATTGATCAGAGGCTGCTCTTCCTGGACGGGCTCTGGAGCCTCAGCATATAAATCCTGCTCTTCAGGTCTTGCATAATCAGACTGGGCTTCATCCTGTTCAGATTCTACTGTCTCTGCTTCCCTTACAGGTACCGGATCTGCTTCAGGTAAGTAGTCTTCATTAACTCTCACCCCTCCTCGAACAGGTACTGGAATCGGGCGACTCACCGGGACAGCTAGTCGCTGTGGTGGGGCTACCGTTGGTACCTCTTGTATCCTCTCATCGGGTATCCTCAGCCAGTAACGGGGACCATCAGAGTCGGAGTTTGAGTCAGAGTCTGGATCTGCTTGCAGTGGGTCTGTACGCTCTGGGGTGGTACATCGCGTCTGTCGTTTCCTTTTCTGGGTTGTCTTCTCAGGAGCAGCCTGATGTGGAGGCTCTTCGACTGGGATGTCATTCACGAGTAAGAGCAGATTACGATGGAGTGTTCTTGTCTTTTTCTGGTCCCCAGACTCGGGATACACTACATACACTGGGTTATCAGAAAACTGTTCTTTCACGACATAGATGGTCTTCTCCCAGTATGACCTTAGTTTCCCAGGACCACCACGCTCACTGAGATTCCGGACTAGGACTCGATCGCCAGGCTGCAGCACCACTCCTCTTGCTAGCTTATCATAGAGCACTTTGCCTTTGGCGCTGGCCTGCTTGCTGTTCTCTCTGGCGATTCGATAAGCCTCAGACATCTGCTTTGCCCACTTCTTTGCATATCCTTTTGGCGAGTCAGGCTCTGCGTCTTCAAGCAATCCGAAGAGCAGATCAATAGGAAGGCGAGGATGACGACCATAAAGGAGGAAGAACGGTGAAAAGCCTGTCGACTCGTGCCGAGTACAGTTGTATGCATGTACAACTCTTGGGATCTGATCTTTCCATTGTTCTTTTTCTTTGTCAGTCAGCGTTCTCAACATCTGCAGAATCGTTCGATTGAACCGCTCCGCTGGGTTCCCCTGGGGATGGTAGGGCGATGTTCTGGAATGACGGATACCTGACATTTGCTGGAGGGTACGGAACAGTTCATTCTCGAATTCACGGCCTTGATCGTGGTGTAACTTTGAGGGATATCCAAAGCGAGGGATGAAGTCATTAAAGATGCGCTCAGCTGCTGTCTTTCCACTCTTATTCTTGGTCGGGTAAGCCTGAGCGAACCTTGTAAAATGATCAACGACCACTAGGATATACTCATAGCCACCACGGCTGGTCTCCAGATGCAAGTAGTCGATGCACACCAACTCTAGGGGTGAGCTTGATGTGATACTTCCCATCGGGGCGCGAACATGAGTAACTGGCTTCTTTGACTTTATGCATGGGCATTTCTTAGTGATATGGTCTTCGATTTCTTTTGCCATGAATGGCCAATAGAATCTCTCTCTGGCAAGGTTCAGGACCCTTTCTGTGCCAACGTGAGCCATGTCATTGTGGAGTTTCTTCAAGACGAGGTCTTTGTACTTGGTGGGGAGCACCAACTGCTTTCTGCCATTGGCACGCCTGTATAGAATACCATTTTCCAAAACGAGCTTTCCCCATTCATGGAACAGTCTTTTAGTGGCTCCACTCGCTGCTTTCCGTATATCATCAGTTAGGGGTGTACCTGACTCTTTCAACGTAATCATTTCACTGATGGCTTTGTCTGCACGTTGCGCTTCCGCAAGCTCATCATGACTGATTTCTCTCAAGTCATCAAAAGGAGGAGACGGGTCAGCTTGGGAGTTGATGTTCAGAGCTGCAACCCAGGCTACGTCTTTGTGCTTGGCTACCTTATCCCCATCCCAGACTGCTCGAACCACATCTGCAGAACACTCTTTAGTGCAGGATTCACTGTACGCTTCAATGTCTAAAGGGAGACGTGACAGCGTGTCAGCGTCTATGTTAGACTTTCCAGGTCTGTACTTTATGTCAAATCTAAAGTCTGACAGTTCTCCAACCCACCTATGGCCGACAGCGTTTAGCTTTGCTGTGGTCATAACATAAGTAAGAGGATTGTTGTCTGTGTATATCGTGAAGTGAGGTGCATAGAACAGGTAATCTCTGAACTTTTCACACACAGCCCACTTCAGGGCAAGGAACTCCAGTTTTCCACTGTGCAGATGGTAGTTTCGTTCAGCTGCAGTTAAAGTCCTAGACCCGTACCCAATTACTCTCAACTTGCCATCCTGGTGTTGGTAAAGGATTGCACCCAGCCCCTGGTCAGAAGCATCTGTGTGTAATACGAAAGGTGCGTTGAAGTTGGGGTATGCCAGCACAGGGGGGTTAACAAGGAGAGAAATAAGTCGGTCAAGGGCTTGCTGGTGTTCGGCGGTCCACTCCACAGGTGTCCTGGACGGTAGTTGTGGACCTTTGCCTCTCCCACGCTCTACAGCTGCTTGTCCTGGCTTCACTTGTAGTAGTTCATAGATGGGTTTTGCAATCCTTGAAAAGTCCTGAATGTAAGAGCGGTAATAGCCCAGGAAACCGGAGAGCTTCCTTACATCTCCAACTGTCTGTGGTGTCCTGCTGGCTAATGATCGCACCGCATCCAGGTCTTTGGGATCAATCCTCACTCCTTGAGCTGACACAAGGCGACCCACGTATCTCACTTCTCGTCTAAACAGCTCACACTTTTCAGGTCTTAGCTTTACCCCGTGTCTTTGAAGTGCTCGAAGTACTTTGCGGACCCCTTCCACATGCTCATCAAAGGTTTCCGCATAGCAAAGCACATCGTCCAGGTACGGGAGACAGCAGTCATCTCTCAAGGGACCTAGCATCTCTTCCATACTCCGCTGGAAGGCTGCGGGGGCGTTTGAGAGGCCAAATGGGATACGGACCCATTCGTACAGTCCCCAGGGAGTAATGAAAGCGGTGAGGGGTTGAGAGTCTTTGGCAACGAAACCTTGATGGTAGGCTTTTCCTTGGTCGAGGATGCTGAACCAGGAATAGCCACCAAGGGTGTCAGTCAGGTCTTGTATCCTAGGTAAAGGATGTCGATCAGGGATGGTTTTCTGATTCAAGAGACGGTAATCTATGCAGAGGCGGAGTGTACCATCCTTTTTCCTGACACAGACCACTGGTGCAGCATAAGAGGACTTTGACTTGACAATCCAGCCTTTCAACAACAAGTCTTGCACATACTCTTTCACCTCTTTAAACAGTGGCTTGGGAACCGAGGAGTACGCTCTCTGCACTGGGATCTCATCCTTAAGGTGGATCGACATCTGCAAACTGGGAATACAGCCGATATCATGACTGTCTCGAGCGAAAGCAGCTGATTCTTCCCGCAGCATTTTCTTTACTTTGTCTTGTTCTTCTTCACTAAGGTGGCTGAGGTCCACAGGGGGCTGCCACAAGCCTGGAGCAGTTTGAGTGGCTGGTGTTGTTGCGGCATTGGCTACTACTTTGGGCCTGGACAGTTCTGGTGGGCCAGCCTCAATCACCCTAGTAACAGCCTGGCTACTACCCAGAACAGTCTTTCTTGGTATGCTCACAGGATGCTTTGTGCAATTTCTTATTGGTAAGGTTACATAAGGTCGCTTTCCAAATTGCATTTCCAGCTGGCCTTCCTCAATCTCAAGTTCAGCAAGATGGACGTTGTTTTCCTCAGGTTCAAACAAGAGAAGAGGGTCTGATTGATCTACAACTGACGGGATCTGACACTTGACCCATGCAACCTGTCCAGCTGGAACTACAGTGTCATAGTTGCCAGTTCTTAAAACTTTTGGACACATGACGGGTTTACCTGCCTGAATGAAGTTCACCAACAGCTCCACCTGATCCACAGAGGCAGATATGGAATCAGAGAGGAGTGTGGTGAGGGCTGGAAATAACTCTGTTTGTCTATCCTGAACCACCTCCTCTAGCACATTGAATCCCAGGATTGGCCGTTCAAGGTCGATGCTACTGATGAGGAAAGGCACCATTATAGACTGACTAAGAGCAGAATTTCCGGCAAAGCTGACTGAGATGAGGACCCATCCATCAAAAGGAAGGACTCCTCCGTTCACAGCTTGTATTTCCAGCTCTTCATCATCAAAGATTTCACTGAGGGGCCTCACCGGTGCATCCGGTATGTACCTCTTCTTCCAGTTTTGATCAATCATGCTCACTTGAGCTCCGGTGTCTAACAGAGCATCAACTGTCAAGCCGCTCAGGTCACATCGTGCAAGGGCTTTGGCACCTATGAACTTGGCTAGGCGCCTGCTTGTTTGAGTGGGCAGAGAAAGGGGAAATTGGGGGTCATTTACATTGTTTACTTTAGGTCTTCTATTCAGCAAACTTTCCCTTGTACGAAACTCAGAGCTGGATACATTACACTTAACACTGTGGGACTGAACATGAGACCCGGTCACTGGTTGTCCCGTTGCAGCGACCGGCTCCAGTTTTCCTGACGCTTCGGCTTCTTTAGGCAGCCTACTGCTCTGTGGCCGTTTTCACCACAGTAAAAACAGTGAGTGCAACCTGGGAGGTTCTGTGCGAGGCAATTAGCACAGCTATTTGACTTGGGTTTCGTTCGTTCCACTCGAGCTTTGCAGTGGTGGCAGGGCTCGGAGCTGTAAATCTGCTGTGGCCGTTGCAGTTGCTCAACTTTAGTCATTAACTCTGCTACCTGTTCAGTTAACAGCTGAAGTGCATTAGCCTTTGGCTGTTTATCTGGAGCATCTTTCTTTGCACCATTACCTTGTGCAGCTGCGACTTCAACCTCCACTAGCTCAGTGCTATGCACGCTTACTTGTTTCTGTTTCACGCCTGACCCCAAACGTCTCTGTCGTTCATTCTCTGTGCTTGTTATCTTCATCATTTGTTTCAAAATTTCTTCATCAGACACACTGCTATCAGAAAGTAATGTTTTAAGTTCTCTGCGTATGTCATTATGTTTTTGGCTAAGTCCTTGATATATGGTGTGTAGGAAAATGTCTTTAACTGTGTTCGAATTGTATTTCACTTCCGTGTCAGCATGTTTTGAGGCAAACAGTATCTTTTGTTTCAGACCTATGACACGGTACAAGAACTGTTGGGGAGTTTCGCTGTCATTTTGTTTGGTGCACATCAGTTCTTGGAAGAGCTCTGTGTTGCTTTGCCCACCTAAGTGGGACTGTAGGAAACACTTCATCTCGTCTATGGTCAAATCATCCTTGTGCATTAGCATATCTTTGAAATGTCCTGGTTTGATCACTCTGAGAATACCTCTCAGTATTTCAGCATCACTAAACTGATCTTTTACTCCGTCATCGATTTGTCTGCATATGTTGCTGTAACTTAAATCTGAGCTCTGATCTCCGATCTGCCCGCCTTGAACCTTGAATTCACGTCGCAGCATTGAGAGCTCTCGAAGGGGCACGCCTCGGTCATGTTTGTCATGTGTGTTTTGTTTGGGTGCATGTTGTACAGGTGCATGTTTGGTGTCAGGTGGCAGTGTAGAGTGTAATGGTGTATGGTGTGCCGGTGTAGGTGTGAGAGTGGGTGGTAATGTGGTGTTATTGATGTGTTGTAGAAAAGTAGTAAGCATTTTCTGTAACTCCGTTGTGTCTGTGGGTGGTATGGTTTTGATAGGGTGTGTGAGTGATGGAGTGGTAAATGGTAAGGGGACAGCTGGACTAACCTCAGCTGGTTGGGTCATATTAGTGTTTGGAACACTGGGCACCATATCATCAGTGATTGCATATTCGCTAAACCCTGGGGTTGACAATAAATTATGCACATCATCTGCAGTTGTCTTACACTTAACAGCACGTCTCTGAATGGCCTTCACGGTATCATTTAACTCCAACAACGTAGCCATACCTGAATCCTCCAATTGCATGAGAGTGTCACTGTCCATGAAAGCTCGGATGTACTCAAAGCAACGATCTTCCTCATCCACCTGAAGCGTGGATGCATCCTTCCCCGGCACAGGACCAACACTCCGAGCCAGTTGGAAAAGTTCATCGGCTGTCAGAGTGAGCAGACTTTTCTTGATGTCCCACACCAAGCCTCTTCTCTCACCGTCCGCCATGACTGCTTTTCCGTCTTCCTCGCTGTTGGTTGCTCCTTCAGGCAGCTCTTTTATCCGTGGCTCCAGGTCTGGTCCCCGCTGCGTAGCACTGGCACCGCTTCAGACGGCTGATTCTGTTTGCGTCTGTCGCCTGCGCATCTGATGCCGTTCCCCGTACGGGCCACCAAAAATCTGTAACGGGTACCGTAGCAACGGCACCTTGGCTGACAGATGTACTCCTGACAAACAGGAGAGAGATGAGGAGACGGCTTGTCAGTTTAGAATATCAAGCAGTAATTTATTCAAGTTTCATTTTTAAATACACTCATGTGTTAAATTTCTTTGTTTATGTTCAACATATTCAAAGTTCAATGTCCTCTAAACATTCTCACTGAATTTCAGTATTCATCTCAACACATAACAAAATACATCTCTTCCAAAAATACATATTCACTTACTTTTCAGTTTAGTATTTTAACCTATTTACCACAAATGAAATACATAGACAATGGTATAATAACCAGCTTAATGTTAACGTTAATTTTTAACTCCTCATATATCTATTTTACTTAGTTTTGAATCAAGACATTACTGCATTTTAACCTCATAAACCTTCAGTGCTTAATATAAACAAAACTCATTTTAAACAGTCACCTTTTTCCCTTCATGAACTCATTTAACAAAACTAATGGTTGGGACCTTACAGCCGGCAAAATAAACAATAGACATGGACGTTGTGAGTTTCTTTAACATCACCGAGGCGCACATTCACGTAGGGGAGGCGCGCTCATTACCCCAAGCTGGTCTCTACCAACGGGCAGGTCGCGCGCGCAACCGCCGCACCGCGGCCGCGCGCGACCGCTGTACCGTCCAACGGCCAGACCCATCCTCGACACTCTAAACCCACTTCAAACCAAATCACACAAACTCCCCGTCTAAAACCACAACATAGACTGGTCAACCAGCATCCCTGACACATTTCAGCATGGGTCATCCCTAACTTCAAATCATATATGTACATTTACCCACCTGACAAACAGGAGAGAGATGAGGAGACGGCTTGTCAGTTTAGAATATCAAGCAGTAATGCAGGAAACCGCGATGCGAGACAGTATAACGGGAACCTGCCCTCGCCCCCCCTGCTGGCAGGGAGTAAACATTGCAGCACACACATTGAATGTGAAATCAAATCACCATGTAAAGAAATGCAAACCAAAATAAAACATAACAGTTTGTAATCAAAATAAAATACAATTTTATCTTTCTTTTTCAAAAACACAAAATGTGACACTTTTGTGGTTGTCACACATCTTTCTTTTTCAAAAACACAAAATGTGACACTTTTGTGGTTGTCACAAAAGCAGTAAACAAACTGTTTTCAATGTACTTCTTCACAATCAGTTTGACAAATAGAAAGGATTTTACATCTACAGCATATATTTCCAAGTCTTATATAATGTTCTCTTTAGCTTTAGGTGGGCCACACCATGATGCTGCCATCATGGTGTGTCCGACACGTGTCACATGTCAACAGTCACATGAGGGTGTGTTCATGATTTTAGTTAGATGTACCCTTTATGTTAAACTGTAGATGGAACTGCTTTGTCTTTTGATAATATAAAGTTCTGACACATTGAGGCTAAATTTGTTTTAATACGTTGTCTTACATGAGTTTTTAATCTCTTCAGCTCTTCCAGCCATACAATAATTGCTGCTTCTAAAATTACAACTTTTATAGCCTTATGTACAGTATCCTTGGACTTCATACTGTAGATTTTTTTTATATATATTCTCTAGCAAATGTTACACAGATTAATATTAAACTTCATTTATATTAAGTTTCAGTTACACAAAAGTATAGACCAATCCAGTTTTGAAGGTAGTTATTACCACTGTATTTTATTTTGCTGGCTAAATTGATATGCAATCATGACTTCACATACTTGTTTTAGATTTTGTTTTAAAGCCATTCATATTTTTCATCTAATTCATACTTTTTCATTTTTTTGTTGTTGTGTTTGACAGAAAATTAAAAAGATGTTAAAATATCTACAAAGAACCTTTTTATGTTGGGCTTTTAGAAGGAAATTTTAACAGGACCTCTCTAATGGACCTTGTCTATGTAAATGTGTGTCTGTCCCTATCAAATAAACTTTAATAATAATTTATAATAATTCCATGATTTCTCTATTTTCCTCCTTGACCTTTGACACAATTATCTTATTGCAGTTCAGAGTGATCTTCAGTGTTGGAGATTAAAACTTCCCTGGGGTATGAATCTTCAGCAGAGTTGATTTAGTACCTTTGACTCCTGCAGTGCCCTGAGAACTATGATTTGTTGATTTAATCAATCTTCTTGTTGGAGCCAAATAACCAAGTTTTGAACTGATTGATATTCAGCTCCTTTATAGAGTTCCAGTCCTCTCCAAGCACATTCCAGATCTCAAATTTGAGAAAACCATGGCTTTGGGAATATCATAAAAATTGTATTTTTAATCTATTTGTTATTATTGTTTTTACTGCTGGCTTACATCAAGTATCAAATATCTGCCCCTTTACTCTCTCATATGTACAGTTAAAAAATATTTTGAATAACCATAGGAATTCAGATTTTAGATTGTTTTACAGTAATTCAACTGAGAAGTTAGTTTCAACAGGAAACAGACAGAAAACAGCATATCAAAATATTGTTTATACCTTTGCAGTGGTAGCATTAGAACAATCAGACCCTTCACTTAACTGCTAAGCAATATTTTGTGTGCTTCCAAAGGGCGTTATTTGGTGATGAGGTTTTAGCATGTAAGGAAGATGTCAGAATTAAGAGATTGTCTGGCTGGACTGGATGCATGTTTATTCCTAAAAGGGCATTCTGAAGGCTGCTGCTGGGTTGGCCTCCTCCTGCATCTGTGAAATTGCATACAGGTGTATCTCATCTACTAATAATCTGAGCACCTTAAGAGGAGCGATTCATCAGTCCCTCAAAGCCTGAGTGTTTACCCTTCATGGTATTGTCAAGTCTAACTCAGAGCCATACCTTCATGAATTTTATCCATAATGTTTTCCTGTGTCTCTGTGTTCCAGAGTTCTGTCCCTTCTATCTCTTTTGTGTGTATGCACAGCTATGGTTAAGAAGCTGATCACTTCGTGACCGATCCTCCACCAGTTCTCTATATGCTACAATAATTTTTCCTGGTTTTCTCTCTGTTACTAACAAAGACCATAACCTGGATTTCTTAGTGAAAGCTTTACCTCCTGGTTTCATTATCCACAATTGCAACCACTGCTCTAATTCCTCTTCTTCTCTAACTTCTTTTGCTGTCAACCGAACCTCAGCCAGCTTTCAACTCTACCTGGACAACCTCATTGCCTTTGTCTTCTGGTTTTAAGACTGGATCTGTACAAATCATCTACACCATACCCATACCCACAGCCCAAGATCCTGGATCCACTCACCTCTCCCTGGCAGTTCTTATTAGCAACTGTAACCTCAGAACAAATCCTTCTTCATTCCTGTTTATTCCTCAACATCTCATAAAATCTCTTTTTTCAGAGCTCCCAGTTGTTCCATGTGCCCCTGCCCCATTTCTGTCATCTATATTATTTCATAGCTCTGTTCAATAAACGTTATTTTATTGATATTTTTTCTCCTAAGAGTCTTTCCTGCATGTAGGTCAAATTACTAGAAAAAACGGTGGCAGAGCCACTTTATAAATTGATTTTCTTTTTCCATTTGGGGGAAACATAATAGTAATTTTAAAGATTGCTTTCACCAAAATCTAGAAGAGAAACAGAACATTTGGTGTTACCGATAGATGTTTCCATAGGTGGCATAATGTTATTGTTTCTCCTAAATCCCCAAATTGTGACATTCATACATTCACCTGTTGAATTTATCAACACAAACAACGAATCAGCCAATGATATGCAACATATTGCAGTTTTGTACCTCAACATCATAAAAGTGCTTAGAAAAGAAATTGGATTTAGCTGACTGATTAGTTTTACATTGCAGATTTACTGGTCTTAATGTTTTAGAAGCTGTTGATGTACTCAGCATTTCACACAAAATAATTTCTTGCATTTACAGAGATCATGGTCATATTTGAGCAGCAACATTAAGATAGCAGGGTCTGAATTAGGCATAGGCTGATCAGTTTTCATGATTCATCACTAATATTACTTGTCCAGATCTTTGTAGTCCTAACCACCTGAACCAGACATTTTACCATATCACAATGCTCTGATCATCTTAGGCTGTTTTCATCAACATGGACAGGGAGGTTGGCCTTCAGAGTCAACATATCTTAATCCAACAGACACATTTGGATTTGAATCATGAATGTACAGCCAACAAATCTGCAGCAAGTGTGTGATATAGACAAAAATTCCTGAGGAATGGTTTTGACAGTTCATTGAATCCCTGCCACTAAGAATTAAGACGGTAATGAGGGCAAAAGAGAGTCCAACATTATGATCTACATAATTGTATATTGAGTCTGACACCGGTTGTTATTTTAGTTTGAATAAAGTTACCAGTCTTTTTGGACAGATGAAATATGAAAGTTCAGTATTTTCTACTTTACTCTGTTGGTATATATATGCTATCAATCATAGTCCCTTAGCTTTTATTGCATCTTGACTCAGATTTTAGTTTTGCTTAGCCAAATAAGTTAAAAAGTGAGATATGATAAACAGTCATTAGGATTTAAAATCATTCCACTCTCTGCTTCTCAGTAACTGTGAACACGCTTGCTTCAGTAAATCTAGAATGTAGGATTGATGGAACCAAAATTCTGTCACACTGTGCTCTGTCCCCAAATGTCCCAGCCAAATGAATTAGGACCCTGACAACCCTTTTAGTTTCTATTTGGTTATTGATCCATGATTTGTATCAGTCTTGAGTCCTGATGTATGGTTGAGAGGAGAGTCATGATTATTTTGCCAAATAGCACTGCAGGTTATAAGTTACAGTCACAAAAGTGCTCTCTTCCCAGTAGGAGTCTAGCTTTGTTCAATCAGACCATGTCTGGTGTCATACTGGGTCTAGTGTTGTAAATTCAGACCCCAGGTCTGTCGTGGATGAGTGGAGACTGAACTGATGGCTTTTAAATAACCAGACTAACCTACAAGTTAATCAAAATATGCTATTTAAGCAGTCTGGCATAAACAACAACTCATTGGGAAAACAACTCACCTGTGATACACATACCCTTCACCTTGCATACTCATCATGTGCAAATACATGAAACTGTCCACATAATATATATCTCCTGCTTTTCATTGCATTTGTGTGTATCTACTGTAGTGTCTTATCACAAAGAAAACACAAAAACATTCACATTAACTGTCGTCTTAAAGCTACAGTGTGTAATTTTCAGCGAGACCGCAGCAACATGAACATCTTCCCCCCACCGCTTCCCCCCCCCAACAGTACGGCGAGCGTTACGGGACAAAATGTCTTCCACGACGTCCGCATCACCTACCTTCTCAAGTGATGAGGTTTGTTTACACAGATAAATTTACAGATAGTATTTCATTAGTCTGTGGAGGGTATAGATTTCATGTAGACTTAAGATAATAAATATACCCATTATTTTTTTCTACATCGTTGTGACGTTTTGGTGAGCTGCTTTGCATGGTGATATAAACAGACAAAGTAATTGTAGTCATTAGTTTAACAGCGAGATTGTGTTCGCTGGAAGAATATATATTCCCCGTTTACAGAGTCCAAGTCTTGTTTGTGGCACGGGGGTTACAAGGCGAGGAAGAGGGCAGAGAGGCCGGGGTGGGCATGCAGCCAGGGCCAGGCGAGGGAGAGGTGCCAGCGGGTGGACTAGAGCAGAGGAGGAAAGGCTTGAAGTTCTCCAAAGGAGCCGGAGAGAAGTAACCGAGGTATATATCCAGAAAATTATTTTACAGAAAATTACTGAATCATTACCTGTGAAACGTCAGGGACGTTGCTGAATAAGTATACTGGAGAGTAACAGCATCATCACGCAGCATGTTATTGTAATGGGCGATCTCGCAATCGCTAGTTTGTTGCATCTGCGCTGCCGTAGCGCAAAGATGTCTGCCTCCACGGCTGCGAGACCCGCTCCTATGTAATTATAAATAACGAATTCTAAGGCAACGCAAATATTATGGTTAAGAGGCTGAGCTCGTAGATGATGATAAATAACATAGTTATGTATAATATATTACATTTCTGACTGTATATCCCTGTAATTATTACACATTGTAGCTTTAATTG